GAAAGGTTGCAGGACACTTATTCCTGGCTCTGCCTCCTAGGCAGCTGTTCGTGCAACAGCTTCTCCTATGAAGAAAAGCCTGGGGATCTGTAAAGAAATAACCTGGATCTCTCTAGGGACACCACCTGCAAAGCTGGCAAGACAGCATGAACTTGGGTATGTTTTGCTCAAGGAAAAGACCAGAGTAGCTAAAAAACACTGAGCAAAGAAACGGATAATGGAAAAAAATATATATATCAAATACAAAAAGGAACAGGCAGAGCAGAACTGAAATTCAGAGCACACCAAGCAATGTATTTTAGCTTTTGCTGCTGAACAAAGCACAAAACCAGAGAAGTATCAGAGCAGCCTTGGAAGGAGGACGTGCTGAGGAAGGTAAGGGGCAACCTCAAAGACTTTTGTGAGAGAAACAGTAGAACATAATCTCCACTGCCAAAAGCCTTATGAAGTTTTATAAACACATGATCTCAGAAACTGATTTACTGGTCTGGGGCCAAGAGTAGAAAAGTAAAAAAGATCTTACCATCCATGATTTCAGCAGAATTTCTTCAAAACCCCTCCAGGGAAAAATATTCTGTGTTAAAAGGAGAACAAAAATCAATAAAAGGATACAGTGATCAAGTGAGAATACAGAAGGTCAGACTCTTTGCTTGATAACTTGTAAAGCACTTGCTTGTTTTCCCTTGTGAGAAATTCATACTCTCCAYGTACGTACACTTGCTAGTCCTCATGTTGATCTCTGCTGAACTCACTGCAGCACAAGAGCATAACGTCTAGAAAYAAGCCCCATAGCTGCTAAAAATGTAAAGAAATGTCTTAAAATTCATGTACTTGAAGTTTTTTTCAAAAAATCGTGTACCAGGTTTCAACCTTGCCAGCCCTGCATCATAATCATAATTTGCGTTGCAAAACTCCCAAAAAGCACTTGGTTTTCATTTGAAAACGTTGGGAGATGGTGAAACCCTGGTACCTTCTTCTGAAACAGCTCTTATTCTTAAAAATGTGGCTTCTGGAGACCAGGTTCTGGGCTGCATAGACCCTATACAACCCTTCTTTAGTGGCTCTTGATGAGAGCCCAGTAGTGCTAAAATCAGTGTCAACACTGGGTGAAAAAAATGTGAATTGACAATAAAATATCTCCCTTTGAATGTTCACAGCAGGGTCCACATGGAAGGAGCTGATCTGGGTGTTGTGCCAACGAGCGACCCTCAGATGTGTCCGGGAGCAGCAGAAGGGGTGTTTATGCCCCCTGAATTGTGTCGGATTGGAGGTGTTGCAATGCCTGGGATGAGAGCAAGGGCACAGGGAACACGGGAGGCAGATGAGAGGCTGCAAGGCGAGGCTGGGCCGCACAGCAGGGCTGCCCGGGGCCGTACCTGCGTCTGCAGCGACGGGATACTTGTTTCCAGCAAGGAAAAGGGCTCTCCATGCTGGGGGATCCTGGATTCGCCCCCCCCCAGGAGATGCTCCAACCCACCTTGGCCAGGGGGTCTCATCTCCCACATTCCCCCTCCATTCCCAAGGGATCTCCGAATCCTTCCCCTCCCGTTCCATCCCAACCAGGATCCATTCCCAACGGATCTCGGATCCCATCCCACCCCCAGGTGGGATCCATTCCCAAGGGGCCCTCCAGGCCGCCTCCCAGGGGATCCCTGATCCTGGCCATGCTCAAATCCGGTGCATCCTTGATCCTTCCCACCCCCTCCCAGGGAATCCCGTCACCCTTCCCCCAAAAGGGGGCATTTCTGACCCTTTCCAGCCCAACAGATCCCAACACCTTGACTCCTTTCATCACCCTCGGAGGACACTTCCCCCGCCCCGCCGCCCCTTCCCGGGGGATCCCTGCTCGCTTCCAGCCCTGAAACCGTCGGATCCGTTTGGGGGTTCCCGGCAGATCCCCGTTTCCTCCCGTTTCCCTCCCGCACTCACCGCGACCCCGCGCTCTTCAGCACCCGCCAAAAATCAAGCGCGCTCCGCCCCCTCCACGCATGCGCGCCCGCCAGGCCGCCCTGCGCATGCGCCTGGGCGCCCCCGCCATCGTTAGTCCTGGCAGCCCAGCGCCACGCGCCGCCATGTTGGTAACGGGCAGGCTGTGCGCAGCTAGGTCAGGGCGCGGGAAGGAGGTACTGAGTGACGTCACCGGGTGGGGGTGACGTCATCATGGCGCTGTCATTCACCTTAAGCTTCCGCTGCCTCCCCACGAGCAATAAGCGGCACTTGTGTTAATTCCACAAATTACAACATATATATTTTTTCCCCATGCCCTGACAAGATTCTGCAGTCTCGTTCCGTATTTCCTCAATTTGAGCAACCACAGTTCTCAAAAATATGTATTTACAAACATGTCTGAGTTCACTGTTTTTGTCCCTACTCCCTTCATGACTTATAGCCAGAAGTCAGCCTGAAATTTGGGGCAAATTTGAAATTGCCCCCCAAAAAACGAGGAAAATTTGAGCTGAGATGCCATCGGGCTTGCACTAAATTCACCCTGTAAAATAATTTACTTTTAAAAAAGGAACATATCTCTGCTTTTTAAAAGGCTGTTGCTAAGATAATGAAAGATGAATTATGGAATGAATGAATGAAGATATATTAGATATAATACAAACACAATATAATGTATAATATAATTAAACATTAGATCTGGTGTCTTACCTAATGTCTGCCTGTTATTATTCCTGCGCTTAGATCCCTACTTTAACTGAGGGCTCTTAAAAAGATTGAGGTTTTTTTGACTTGACAAAATATAATTCCTGCTTTGGCCTTTCCCATATAGGTACTGTGTTTTTATTAAGGTTAATGCGTCTCAGATGAAGTTAGCTCTAATATCATCCCGTTAGTCTGCTTTTTGGCAACATAGCACTCCAATCAAATTTTGATCATTGCCGAATCCATAGTGTTCACAAAGCTCCAATAATAAAATGGGATTAAGGGGAAAAGCCCATAAACCCTACTGTCACAAGGATGTAATTAAAAGTCAGTAAGAGACTGCATCTACTGAGAGTGCTAGTAATTGAGGAAGGCTGCAGCAAAGCCTATGAATATCTCTTCACCATAGATCTCAACACTTGCATTACTTGAAATTATGGATGAAGCTGTAGGATAACATGAGCTATAACTAATAGAAAACAAGACTCTTGAGTTTACAATAGATAATTAAAATCACAGTGTCAACTACCGAAATAAAAACTACTCCTTATTTCAGTCACACAGAGGGAAAAAAGGTTTATTTTTCCCTCATATTGGTAGCTGAGAGTTTGCTGACAGCATGACATGGAAAATGTTTGTATTCTCCCCTGAAAATATACACAAGAAATATTTCTTTGGTCCAGAAAACACATACAGATTTTTGTGTGTGTGTATATTTTAATAATATTCATCTGCATAGAGCGAAGTTTTAAGTGTTCATAGAACGAGGCCTTGGTTTTAAGATAATCAGATCTAGGAAAAAATTGCTTCTATTTCAGGCTTAAAGTAAAATACTAAGACTCCAAAATAGCTAGTTCTGCTACTGATCTGTTCAGTGTGTTTTCTCCTCTGTGATCCCCCTTTTGGCTCTTCATCCACAAGGCAGTTCTGAAGAGAACTTATTTACTGAAGTAGGTTAACATTAAAGTGTCATTTGGGGGTTAATTTGAAGAATTAAATCCACCAGCTTTTCTCTCTCACAGGTGGTACCATCATTATAATATTGGTCTGAATTTCAAGGAAAAGCAGCCTATTATCAGCTGTGCATGGCCTGCTCTTTACCATCATTTTTCTTATAAATGGGTGACACGGGTAATAAGCCATGTCTTGGAGGTGACCATATGACTCCTTCACATAGAATCGCACACAATCACAGAATGGCTGAGGCTGGAAGGGACCTATAGAGATCATCTAGTCCAACCCCTGCTCCAGCAGGGACACCCAGAGCATGGGGCACAGGGTGACATCCAGGCGGGTTTGGAAGATCTCCAGAGAAGGAGACTCTACAGCCTCCCTGGGCAGCCTGTTCCAGGGCTCTATCACCCTCACAGTGAAGTTCTTCTTTGCATGCAGATGGAACTGTGTGAGTTTCAACTTATACCCACTGGCCCTTGTCCTACCTGTGGCCACCACTGAGGAGAGTTTGGCCCCATCTTCTTTACATTCTCTCCTCAGGTACTTAATACATATTGATCAGATCCCCTCTCAATTTTCTCTTCTCCAGACTAAATAGGTCCAGCTCATACACAGCGTTCAAGTCAGGGCATCAAATGTGGGAGGAAACTTGCTGTAACTTACTTTGCTGGTGCAGTGTTTATGGAAAAGGGTCTATCCTTTTGTAACTCCACAGCAAAAACTGCTTTCCTCTTTTCTGGTTTATGTGGCAACAGAGATACATGTTGCAACTGAATTGTTATATGTCATTATCTACATGGGAGTAGATGCTGTTTTCGAATTAAAAAGGAAAGAATATAATTTTACTGATTTCTGTCCCACCTTCTTTGTCCCTCACCTGATTTACCTAATCTGTTGCTATTCTACATAACTCCTGTGGTCATAACGAGACATCATTTCGGTAGCTCAGAGGTTTTTGTGCATCTGGTTGACTTCTCTTGCCTGACAGTTTCTAACAGTGCAAATATCAGTTGTTTGCAAAACAAACAGAACTCTTCTTTTCTATGGATCCCAAAAATTTCCTTTAGTCGTTTCTTGCCTTTCAAGCTGGTTCATATTTAGTTAGAGTGGTGTATTTTCTTCCATTATGTAGAATATAGAATTAGAATATAGGATATAAACACATCAAAACATGGAAAGAACTAATACAAAGCAGTTCTTTTATACCCATTTTAGAGCCACTGGTATTTGCAATCCAGTTTAAGCCTCTAATGTATTCACAGGTAGACATGATTTTATACTTGTAATAGATTTATTCTCAGACATGAAAGTCCATTATAATCCTCTTTTTAAATTAGATTACATCCATCTCAGTTCTTTCTATCATGATACTGTACAGGTTCAAATGAACTTATTATAACAAAGAAGAATAAAGACCACACCTGAAAACGCACAGTTCTATAAAACCAAGTGACTTGAATACACCAGTAGCTACATGTATCAGACCTAAATGATCTATCTCAAACCTTGCCCACATCTGGCTAAAGCAAGAAGTTACATAGGCCATCAAAAATATAACATCAGATTAACATAGTCACAAGGACAGCAATAAACCTGTCACCTGGAGAAAGAACAGGGTTCATTTTGAAGAATACAACACTCCCCCATTTTAATGAAAGCTTCTCCAACAGTATTTTTAATGACTTACCTTCCTGATTAGTAGTATAGGAAAGCTGAACTATATGTGGGCTTCCGTACTTTAACTGATTAGTATCTCATTTCTCTTCTGATTTCAATAATTCAGAGTGATACTCTAGGTTATCACTTGCATGTCAGTCATGAGGGCAGAACATATCAGGGAAGCGTTACTCAAAGTTTTCACTGCAGCAGACACCCTGGTTGTTTCTTAATGCATTTGTTTTGTTAGCCTATAAAAACTCTTTTCCTAAAGCAGATTAAAACAAGACAGTGTTTTAAACTGTGTTAAAACAAGAGTAGAGGGCAGGATGGGAGTCTTCCCTTTTTCCCATTGAATTAATGAGAAAGATCCTAGGAAAACCCTTGACTAGACATAGAGCTGGCTGTTACTATAGCAGAAGGGAAAAAAAAAAAGAAGTGTATTTGTTTGGCAGGTGAATTCTAGTATATGAGGAATTGGAGGGCATCACTCAATTAATGCAGTCCATAACATGAATCTGCAGCGTGTCCAAATCAGGTAGAATTTCTTCACATTTGGGACATGAATACACTGAGACATTCCGCTGCTGAGACCAGTCTTGACTACCAGTTCCTGCAAGTAGAGAAAATACAAGATTACCTTTTACTGATTTTTTTTTTTTTTTTTTTTTGTGTGTTTGTGCAATGGCTGAAATAAGTCTATCCTGCTCATAATGGCCGGAGAATCATGTTCCCTGCAACTAGCCTGATGCCATAATAACCAAAGAGAAGTTGGGGATTTGCTTGCAGCCAAGCAAAGCTATTTTAAATTGAACACAGCAGAACCTAGTCCATTTTGGCTAGAGAGGCTCCTTACAGTACCTCTTTGAACAAGGTGAGGTGAATGCTCCCGATCTCCTGCTGCCCTGGCTCCATGCCGGTTCTGCATCTCTGCCAAATTGTTTCTGTGGAGAATAGAGGAACAAATGAGGTTACTTAGAAGAACTATAAATAAATATAGAAATAAAATTAAAAAGATGGAGAAGGTTTCTTTCCTATTATTTCCAGAAAAGGTAATAAAATGAAAATAAATTAGATATGAAAGATTTGTGTCAACCAGTAAAGCACATAGTCCACAACTACCATTCAGAGACAGGGTGGAGGATTCAGGCTGTGGAGGACACATGGTTAATACTACTTTTTTTTTTCTTTATTTTTTCTCTTTTAACATTAAAAGAGCTAAAATAGTGAATGTCCAGGATATCATAGAACTTAACACTGCATGTGTCCACATATTGCCATCACCTTAAGCCAGATGCAGATATCCCTGGGACACATTCAGCAAGTTTAGCTATAGATTCAACACTAAAATTGAAGGCAAAACCCTAAGAAATACCTCAAATGAATTGGTGGGGAGAAATTAATATGTATGAATCATTTAAAGGGAACTCTTCCCAGGGCTACCAAGGACTAAAACGCCTTACAGATTTCCTATCACAAAATTAGAACACAGAAGTCAGTCACTTCCATTTTTTCTCTTCTAAAATTCAAATTAACCAAGAAATAAATGACTTGAAGCCTGTCTGTTTCTCTAGGGAGATGCTAGCAAGAATATACTGGTCAGCTCCAGCACACAGGGTGGCAAGACAATCTCAAGGCAGCTCAGCTGAGCAATGCATCTCTTACCGGCTGAGATCTTCAAGGTTTTGCTGCTCTTTTAGCATGTAGGCCAGCTGGAGGGCCAACTGCTCTTTCTCCTCATGGATCTTCTCTCTTGCTGCCCTCTCGGCRTGGAAATCAGAACAATACACCTCCATCTGATCAAAAAAATTAAATTATGGTAGGAACTTGTAAGTCGAGATTGAGCCATACCCATGTAACGTACGTCACAACAGCAAACCCATGCTATGGGTTTATATCCTGCATGTGCTTAAAAAACTCCAACAGTATCTACAGGCTGCAGTGAATTCAGCAAACAGATATAAAATTTGCAGTGAGTGAGCTGGCAGATAGCTGCTCCTCATTTCTGAGTAGTGGTCAAGGGCACCATCCCATTGCTGATGAAGAGCTCCTACCTGAGCACGGAGCACGGCCATGGTTTCCAGGTCTTCCTCTTGCTTGGCAATTACCTGCTTCATTTCATCTATCTTGAGCTGTTTTGCAGCGAGGGCTTGTTCTGCCAGTTCCACCTTTGCAGAAAGTTCTTCAAACGCAGCTTTATCCACTTGGTCCAGCTGCAAGAAAGAACTGTCATCTCAGAAATATGACATTTCCTCAAGTGGGACAGTTTGCTGTTTAGTCCTCCCGCCCTTGGGAAAGCTATCATTCCCTGGTCATCAAAGGAACTGGAACTAAAACTACTCAATATTTTAGTGTATAGATCTGTTTTGATCTTTTAAGCTACATTATATCAAGCCAAAACAGAACTCCCTAATGGACACTGCAAAAGATATTTTCCCACTTTCCAAAATTTTACAGGAGAATTTTGCACTTAGTTGTGGAACCACAGTTACAAATAGGAGCTCAGTGTGGTAGGCATCCTATAATTCCAAGATTACACAACTATTTAGAGTCTACCTTCCCATGTTTACAAAATATAATACAAGAACATGCTTATGCCTTTGTTTATCATTTCTGCCTATGGGCTGGACTCCACACTGCACTGAAGATTAGACCCTGTTTAGAAAACAGCATGGAAGTGCTGATGCATTTTAATAACTGACAACAGAAGATCTGTGTTTTTCAGAGCAAAGTTGAAATCGCAATGCTCTTTTCTTATTCTGAGCATACCACATTGCATGTTATATTAGGTAGAAGGGATGACAATAATTTATTTTTTTTTCCTAGATATATTCTCCCACCCTTCCCCCTCTACTCCTAATTCATGGTCATTTCTTCTCATGGTGACTTTACCTCTTTGAGTTTCAAGTCATCGATTGTTGTCATTGCCTTAGTGAGTTCAGAGAGGAGTTTGTTGTATGCATCCTGCAAGCTACTATTTTTTGCCCTGTTTTTGAAAAGAAAAGAGGTGAAAGTTTTAAAAGCTTCAAAATTTTTGAAAGTTTCTGTGCTCCTTTTAATATTTAACATTCATTTTAACTTTTAACTATTCTGTTTGTTCCAGTGAAGATTTCTTTCATTCTTTCGTAACATTTCAGTTCTCCTAGCTTTAAGATTTAGAGTTGTATCTAGAAATCTAAATAATCTACTAGACTTTAAGAAAAATGTGGTTCTTAAAAATGATTCTCTCTCCCTGATGAGAGGAAAATTGGGCTCCATCTCTCATAATCTCTCTTCCAAGGAATCAGGTGCTGCTCTATCTAAGTCCAACAAATGTTCTTACTGATCCACATGTTAAAGAATCCCTCACCCAATATTTTTATAGCAAGCTCACAAATTGTCTCACAAATTTTAACATCTCCTTTACAAAGTCTTGACTTAAGGATTCAAATGAAGGAGATTTCACCGTGAAAGGAACCAGACATAGACTCCAAAGAGAGCCAACATCCTATCAAGCAGCCAAAGACTGGTCCTTCAAATAGGTCAGCCTCTTGCTACAGCTTGGACTGACATTTTCACAGTCTTTACTTGGATTGCACAGGAAGGCAATATACCTATAGGGTATATATACCTATAGATAGGTATATACCTATAGATAGGGGCTGTAGGTCTCCTTATTACTATCACTTGCCTGTTACAGTCCCCCCTTGACTTGTCCTTACCATATCAACCTGTGGACAAAATTACTCGTGCTAGTCAATGGGAGAACTGTTGTCACTTCTTAGCTTTCTCTTCTTGTTTATTTAATCTGACCCCAAACACTTCTACCTCTTTCTTAGACTTGAAGACAAATGAAGATGCAAGTCAGAACTTACAGCTCAAATTTCCCTAAGTAAGGGGTTTAATGGACAACAGGACTCTGTTTGGGCCTAATGTGGAGACTCCTAATGTGGAGACTCCATCATAGATGTTGAGATAATTTCTATTTTAGACTTTACAGACAAACATGGTTTCAACAGAAAATGCAGGACACAAAACTCATATTTCAGATTCAATTGGTCAGTTTGGTCAGGATTTCTTTGATAGCCTTTCCTTACTGACAACAGGTATCTCTCTGAAGTACAAAACCAAATCATACTTTTCTTCCAGTGTTTTGGCTTGTTCCAGCTTGATCTCTGCCTGCATGCTCTCCACCTGAAGTTCCAGCTTCTTGGTAGTGTATATTAGCTGCTGCTTCTCATCCAGTTCTAATGCAGCAGCAGAGTTTTTCCTTTCAAGTACTTGGCATCTGACAGAACAAGGAAAAAAGACGGTTGACTTCTTCCGTTCAACTTTTCTTAAGCATTAAGAAGCATACTTTTTTGGGGTTCATTTTAAAGACTTATTTTGATGAAGAACAAGGAAAGACAAAACTAAGTCTATACAAGTCCATTAGAACAGGAAGCTGATGAACTCAACATTTTTTTTTTCTTACGATTATGAATTTAAGATTAAAACAGGGATTGATTATGTGATTGATTAACATCAGGAAATGTTAAATCAAATTAATTCAAATTAAATTATTTGGGGTATCTAGAACTAGGAAGGCAGCTCAGATTTTGTCAGAATTACCCTGTTTCTGCACTTGCTCTTCTACTTACAAAGAGCAATCTTTTACAGTTCTGTGGAGCTGATACTTAAGTTGATATTTGTAGAGATGGTGAGTTTCCCATCTCTCATCCCATGGTGGCAGTTGTCTACAAATGTATACTGGATATAATAGGAGACTTTTTGTTTTTCTGAACCTTACTTTTCTTGAAGCTTCTTCTGAATCAGTTCTGCTTCTTTTAACTTCTCATGGGCCTCCTGAAGCTCTTTAAACAGAGCACACACTTGCATATTCAGGATTTCTACTTCACTGCCAACCTTACAGAGAAAGAATGAGGAAAAAATAGGAAAATTATATATGGACAATTCAAGATAGGAAAGTTGCAGGCTGAGAAAGATATCTAGCCACAAGAAGTACCATTCTTCCTCTAGAAAAAAGAGCACAAGTCACTCCACACCATTACACTTTATGCTCAACAGTAAGCCCCCTTTTGCAATGTTTCACAGTTAAAGATTATTCCTAAACATGACAGAATGACATCTTGACTCAACCCTTTTGTAAAATCTGGGTGACACAAAGACACCAATGTTACTGACTTTCCAGTGGGGGCTAGATTATAACTTAACTAGATTGGAATCATACCTGCTTTGTCTTTCTTAGAGTTCACAATGTAAAACACATTCACAATGTAAAACACACTCCTCTGAAACAACCCCAACAATAACTCCATTATCACTAATTCATGACTCAACATAGCAGACAAGAAGAAAATAATTTCTAGTAAAATTTTAATCAGCTTTATCGTGAGTCTCGCCCTCTCATTTGGGCTCTAAGCCCTGGGAAGAGCACTACACAAAAGAGTTAATTAGCTAAATTTTCTATTATCTACCATCAATGCCTGAGGTGTCTGCAAATCTTCAGAGTGATTCACTTCTGATGCTCAAATGTTCACAGAACCAGGACTATTTCTTATCCAATATGGGCAAGATATTGAACCATGCATATTCTGTATTGATTTTGTTTAGATCACTAATGGTTTGTTCACTGCCCATCTGCTTGCTCAATGGAAAAATCCTAAAGATAAGTGAAAAGCAGGAGGAGGAAAGAAACAGCAGGTATATTATCCTCCAACCCAACATGAAGGATACCTCTGTGTCCCAATCCCTAAAGTATATCCATATGTTTTAGAAGAGGTTAAGCCCTGGACTCCTGCTGGTCTATAGACTCTGGAGCTACATTCCAGAGCTTTCCTAAAGAAACTCGGAAATCTTATAATCTTCCTGACTTTAGTTTAATTGTCCCTAGTACTGTAGTGTTCATTGATAATGCCTGATCATCTCATGTGCATGAAAAGTCTCCAGCCCATTACCTTCAGCTTGGGAATGAGTTTGGTTTCTGTGGCTAAAAAGACACCTAATGCAGGCATAAAAATTAGTCTGAATCTGGATCTGTATCCCAGCCCCAGAATCTATTCAAAGCTGTCACTGAAAATAACAAGACTTATTTTGCCTGTGGCTGCATCTCAGTCCAGGACAGTTATGTTCCACCTTTATAATGGATCTCATCGAAACAATAAAAAAAAATAACACTAGGTACCACATGAACCTACAAACAAAGTTTATTTATACAGTTTGCTGCCAGGGGACTCTGACCCCAAACCTGACCTACTCAGCAGTGAGAAAATACTTTGTGAACCTGGGAATGGCTTCATTCCTCTCTGTTTAGTGGGCACAGTCACAGCAAAGAAGCATACCTGGAATTATGTTACGCTCCCCTAATTCTTGGCTATCAACCTTACATATTTTTTGGTGCCTGATGTAATTTTGAACCATCTCTAAGATCCATACTGGAGAGGCCAAGATTCATTTCCAGGCCCCAGGCAGGATATTTGTAATTTGCTTCTTGTCTACAAGTGGAAATCCAGGCTCTAAGCTTATTGTCCTCAACACACAAGCTCTGAGTTATCACGTCTCAGCCCAGGAGGACAAGCACTTACCGACTCTGATCTGTCCTCTTCCTTCTCAGTTTGAGTCCCACTCTCCAGACAATTTCCTTCTTCCTTCTTGAGTTTTGACAGTCTGGAAATCAGAAGGATCCAGCAGTGAACAGATTTGGCCCATATTTGAGTGAGATTGTGACTGCTTAAGTATTTCATACATGTGATGTACTCTCATTCTAACATCACAGCCATGAACTGAAAGCACCAACATTCAGGAAAGCCTACATGACCACTGAAGTGATTTTGCCCTCAGAGATCAGTCTTTGGTGCTGTCCAAAACTGCTTTACCTCTGGAAGCGGGTCAGTCTGTTCACTGAACCTATCATTAACATTACCTCCATTTCCCTTTTATATTTTCAAAGGCTGAGATTTCTAAGGATCATTTGGCTATGGCTCATTACTTCTTCCAAGAAGACCATGTAGAAGCAACTACTGTGAGACCAGCTTTTTACAGCAGATGATGTTCAGAAAATCTAACTCTGTCTCTGCAAACGGGAATCAGGGAACAGCTACTGCTCAGGCACTTTCCAGACCTCAACAGTCATGCTGATATACAACAATATAACTGATCAGGCACAGACCCTCGTGCAAATCTCTGCGGAAAACCATACTCTTTGATAAGTTTGGAATTAAATTTATTCTAGTCATTTTTAGTGAGCTTTTCCAAGTGCCTCACACAATTGGTTTATCCCTGCCAGCACTATGATAAAAAGTAGTTATAACTAATGAGCACTCAGGACATTCCTCATACAGATTATACGGATATTTCAGCTTGTCTCTTATCAGTCACAGACCTGGTAACTGCAGCAGAATCCATGAAAGAAAGCAGCTCAAAGTGTCATAGTGCATCTATTTCATACCTCTCTTTGTGATTCTGCAGTTCCTTCTCAAGGGTTTCCCTCTTCTGTGTTTCATTTCGAAGGCAGCAGAGCAGCTGACTCACAGTTAGATCCTCAGACTCTAAATTTTTCCCTTCATCTGTGAGTTTGCTCCTGCTTCAAACAAAACCAATTGTAATTAACAGCAGCTCTATGATTTTATTGCAGAATCCTCTTTCCCTTAATGCCAGGACTCATTCTGAAAGGCCTCTGTGCAGAAAAACAACACTATGAGTAAACAGGCCGTTCTCAAGAAGCAAAACCTGCTCACAGGCTGTGAGCCACAGTCCTCAAAAAGCCCCTATGTGGGCAAATATGGGCCTTGTTTTGCACAGTGGTTTGACAGCTGGGGAAACAATTTTGTATTTAAGCAAGGAAAACGAAAGTGCTATAGACATCACTAAACACAGGAAACATTTCTTATCTCTGTCTTACTCCTTTCCAGGAAAAGAAGGTATGTTCTATCAGAAATGAGCATTGGAAATTACTTCCTTTTTCAGATAAAATTCCTTCAATACTTCACCTCCATCATACTCTAAAGCTCTTTGGAAAAATGTATTAAGCTAACATAGGAATGATTCAAAACAAATGCAAAGCTCCCTGAAAAATAAGAAAAATGAACTCTCTTTAAATCCACCCAGACAGAAGGTCAAATTAGACTAATTATATGGTGAGATATAGGTGCATGCACTGTGCATTTTGCATTTCAAAAGCTCAGCTAAAAAGCACGTGTTCAAAGCTTCATTTCTGTAGTTCAGAACTGAAAGTAAACGGTAGTCCTGTATGTGCTGTTGAGAGCTAGAAATCTTTGCTGAGCAAAGTTCAGTATCAAAGACAGTGTTCAGCCAGGAGTGTTTCAAGTAAACACCTTTATCAGGGGATTTTTCCTGCCTGCTTCTACCTCTAAAGAAATAAACTCATCCTGAGTGAATCATGTTTCTCTGAGCTTGCTAATAGCACCAATGTGAAGTTTCAATACTGGACAAAAACACATGGTGACACCGGAAACATTTTAAGAGGCACATCAACCTCCTGTTATTGCAGATATGGCATAGACACTCATCAAAAGGGAAGCGAGTCTTACAGAGAACCTCTCTTCACAAACAGAACGTTCTCATAACCCACTGCAAATGACAATCTGAGTGCTTGCAACTTGCTCTGTGGTCACACTTTCAGTGTGTCTCTCTCCAGATCTTAATCATTTATTTGCTTGCAGCTTCTTAACTGAATTGCAGCTTCTTAGCTTCATATGGAAGCACAAGCTTTACATTTTATAGCACTGGAATGCCAATCTCCCTTGCAGAACTGTGACAGGTTCAAGGAAAAGCCTTTATCTAGTGCACAGCTTTCTGGCCTGCTGTCTCATGAGCATTTTGTATAGCTGTCCCTTCCAAAAGCAAAGGCCACAAAGTAAATAAGAAACTTCAGCCACAACCATCTAGCTGTTAAAATGGGCACGATCCAAAATGGAAACTTTACTAGTATCAGCTGTCTATGTCCATGAAGCAAAGGTTCAGCCAAGGGCCAGAAAGTCCCTTATGCCCTGGAGCTGACGTAAAGAGCAAATTTTGAGAGGTACCTTAAAGAGATCATTGATATTTAAAGCCTGGTAATTTGAAAAATAGGCCTATGTGATTGCACTGCCTGTCTCCCACACCATAAAAGACCTCATACTTACTGCTCACAAGGTTTAGATTTGAAAGAGGAGACCCCTGATTCTTAGAAACATCATGATAATGGGGTAGAGAGCAAATGATCTACTAGAGTCCTCAGTGACTAGAATGGAGGGAAAGTTTCAGCCTTCCTCTCTTTGGTCTCCATTGAAAGCTTGAAAAGTATCAGCTACTTGGCAAGTCCATGTGTACTTAAGTGCCTTTGCAACTGGCCTAAGGATTTACTCTCTCCACTCAGTTGGAGGGGCAGATGAAAACAGGAAAGAAAATTGTCAGACAGCTGAAGATCTTCCTGCCATGGTAGGTTGGTAGGAGTACTGCAATGGAAGGATGCAAGATCACAGAAAAACAGACTTACTAGTTCATTGCTCATAAGAAAAAAACACTGTTTTTTCACTAGCACTGTTTGCTCACTAGGAGCAAAACACATTACAGAAATATAAATAACACAAGAACATACATACATGTAGATAGCAGGATTACTTGTCGTTTCACCACTGTTATCTTGATTTTCTTTTGCAGTTCTATTTATTTCTCCTTCCTAGGAAAGAGAAAAACACCGTTAGCTTTGAATTTGAACGAAGCAGAACATAAAATTACTTACTTCATCTAAGCAAGCAAGGAAAACAGGAAAAAATATTCTAGTGGAAAATAAAATAATTGAAACACAAAACTTACACACATTTGGAAATATCAAAATATTTCACATTTTGTCTAGTATCTTTCCAGGACCGGACAAGAGGAACTCAGAGATTTGACTTACTTTCATCCACAACATATGTGGCCACTTCCCTCAAAGATAAGAGGGCATCAAGGAATAAGACCAAACATCCCTGGAGATGATTGAATATAAGCCTAAAAACCACTCCACTGAGTCCCAAAGGGAACCTCTCCTCTTTCCCAGAGTAAGACTCAGTGCCTTCTTCCTGAACTTTGCAGCTCAAAGGAGAATCTTTACAACAAAAAATTAGAACATAGACTTCCTGCAATTTAAAAATTTCTTTGACAACTCAAAAACCTTTACAAACATGTTTTAATTAAATTATTTTAATCTCTTGTTGAAATTGTCCTTTCTAGAGAGGGATCCACTACTATGGAGATAGTGGAGATCCATGTTTTCACTTTTCATATTTTGCCTGTTAAAATTTCTCAGATACAAGAACAGAAGTAGATTTCTCTGCCTTTATGGCACACTCTCTAACTCTGCAATAAAATAGGCTGGACTTAATTTTGCTTGACCTCATCTTTGTGCTTCTACCATAAGGAAAACGAGCCCCATTCCTAAAAGAAACAGACCCCTCTATGCAGAAGTGATGCCCCTTAATAAATGAGCTGATGTTAGAGGCTATGCAACCCCTCTCTCAAATCCGGCATGCCTTTGTCTTGTATTACTGATGGTGCTGATAGAGTTTGCTATTCCCCCTAGAAAAGGCATAGACAGTGTGCATTACTTTGAGAGTCGATGCACTCTTTCTACTAAAGTAAAATGATGTACTAAATTATACAAACTTAGTGAAAACATCATCAAGTAAATAGCTGCACCTTCACTGCAAGGGAACTTTCTCACTCAGACCTGATTTTCTCATCAGCTGGACTAGTGCAGGAAGAAAACTAAGGTGGCAGAAAGAAGCTGGAATCAAAGTTGCTGGCTGCTGCTCGCTTTATTCCCTGCACTTATTTTTATTCCAGGCACTTACAAGCATGGCAATCTCCACAAAAGAGTCCTCTGCTGCGTTGTTCAGCTTAACCTGCAGCTCTGAAATGATGGCAAGCAGATCTGCCTTCTCGGCCTGGAGCCGCAGCACCTGGGATTTCAGCAGCCTCCCTTCCTTCTCTGGAGCGGTGCAGCCCTCCTGGGAGAAACAAAACTCTGTGTTAGCAACAAAAAGGAAACACTCGCCAAGGAGCAGGAAGGCTGACACATAATAATATTGCTCCACACTGCTGCTTCTCTCTTGAAGTTCACCTAGGAAAAGCCAGTACAGACTCCTGAGCCACGTTTTGGTCCACTGGATAGCAAGAAGTGAAACCAACTTATCACACAACAAGGATCGTGCTTCTGCAGAAGATGGACCTGGTTCTTTGGATACAGAGGTCAAGCTGTACAGATAACTAGGTTGTAAATCTTTGCCTGAATAATCTATGTCTCTCATCACCACAAAGTGTCCCTGGCCATCCCACACTTTCTTCTTCGGTCCAGAGTTTTTGTGTTTTCGTTTTCCACTCCAAATCCCTATTTCTCTTCTCCCAAATCCACCTAAGATTTTAGGTAGAAAAAAACAATCAGCAGGGAGATTTTCCACATTCCCATTTTCAGTCTTCTCTGTACTCTGTCTGCATATATAAATCTCTCCCTATCTTTTTGACCATCTTCCTCCCTTCCACACTCTGTGTATTTTTAAGTATGTCTATGCTATGGTTATCACTGAGTAATAAAACTGCAAAGAATCCCTCAAGACTTAGGCTTACTCTTTGAAGCTCTTGGAGATGAGACTACAGAGTGACTTATTTTTACTTAACTGGATTATTCAAGCAAGTTGGATCATTAAACCAATGACAAATGCTTCAAGTATCGAAAGAACAAGATGTTCTGAAGCAAGAAAAAGCAGGATAATGCCCCTGCTTCCGTTTAGTAACTCTTCCTGGCTCCTCTTCTCCTGAGTTTGCTTGAAAATCTGGAATATGACTTCTGGTTTAGTTTTATGTAAGCAGTACTTAAATAACCATATGATCTATAAGGGGGTTAGAAGGGGTCTTTCTTCCCCTTCTAACTTCTGAACTCATTGGCCAATTTCAATTTATACAACAAAAGACTTCCAATGAAGTTTCATAACACTGACAGTTAGAAGAGAGGGGAGGATATTGAGAAGACGGCTAATACACTGACCCTTTATCGGGCAACAGAAAATTCACATAGTCCTGAATACCAATATTCATCAGTCTGACAAGTAAGATAAAGAATTAGAGCTACATGTATTTCTGAGAAGACCAATTTCACAATTGGCCAACACTTATTGTTAAAAGCATAAAGATAAAAATGGAGTATGTGAACAAAACTCCAAACCTCCCAGTGTGATGAATGGATATGAACGCTCCAGATTTCCAATTTAAAAGTCTGTTCATCCAAACAATTCCCAACTTACCATTTCAGCTCCTTCTTCTCTTTCTTTTAAGCTCTGAAGCTCTTTCTGTAGCTGTTCATTTTCCATGCATTTGGCCAGCAAGCACTGCTTAGCTTCTTTAAATTTTGACTCGTAAAATTCACGTTCTTCTTTCTGCTTCTCTCGCCAGATAGAAAGTTCCTCGTATCTTTCCTTCATAGCTTGGTTGTGCAACTTCATGGCTTCTAAATCATAGCCAAAGATAAGATATTGATTCATATTAATACTCTGTCAATGGAATAGCAGATTTTCTCCACACTAGGCTCAGTAGTCTTCAGTATCTTATAGATTAACTTAGGTATAAAACAAGGGCCTCCTTTTTATGTGTCCTAAACAGTGAAACAAAGTTAAATTTCATATAGTTCTCTAACATAAATAGCATTAAATGCATTGATGAAATCACATATTTACCTTCTCTCAATCTGTGACTTATTGCTAAGCCAAGAAGTACAGGGTTTCTTACCTTGCTGCATGCATTCTTTAAAAGAACAACAACAAAATAAAACTGGTTTACTCTGGAGCACAGATATTATAGAAGGGTGAGATTCAGTAGAGAAAATGTTCCTTCTAGGCCATTAAATTATAGTATTAAAAAGGATACAATCAAACAGAAAATCTCAAATAGGTTTAAAAATGTTCTCCTTGAGACTTGACTGCAAGCACTGAAAAGCATAAAATCAATCATTTTCAGCAAAGATATTTCTTCCTCTCTGGGAAACATGTGCATGTGCCAGTCTGCTCTAGAATGCTTATGAGATTTCTACAGAGCCAATTAAAATACTTCTGACTTGTTTTTGAGTAACAAATACAAATCCAATATCTTGAAAATCTTTTGTACATTTTTTCACTAACTTCCATTACATCTTGGTGTTATGTTATACACAGCTAACAAGAGTCTCAGCTAACAAGGAGGAACTGGATATTGTAAATGAATATTAGTGTGGAGAATCATTCTGCAAGGTGTCAGCTAAAATATGTAAGTTAAAAGTAAGTGAAAATATGGCCCTGAAAAATGATTCTGTAGGATATAGGACCTTTTAGCAGAATTCCAGAGGTACCTGTAGAAGCTTCTTTCCTATCAGAGATACCCTTCTGACTTCATGGCAGAGAACTTAGAGCAGTCTCCAGAGGATTCAGATGGGATTCAGATGCCACAGTTTGAAATCATAACATGCAGGAAATAATGCCAACTCATGCTCTGTTGCTTTATGAACACCGAGGTGTTTTAGAGGGAATAAAAACAGCTCTTTATGTCACATCAAAACAGCAAAGCAGGTTTTTCACCTCACTATCCCAAGTGGACAGAATTACCATTCCCAAGCAAGTAATTCTCCCACAGACTGAGCTGTTCTCCCCCCCATTCCTCCATACAGATCCAGGGGGACTCAGCCCGTGCTGGCGTTCACCTTTCAGCTCGTTGTTCTCGGTGATGAGCTCCTTCATCTGCTGCACCATCTCCTCGGGCGTGTAGGTGCTGAGCGCGGGGGCGGCCGCGCCGGCCGCGCCGTTGGCCACCCGCCGCCGGGGATGCTCGCCATGCTCGGCCGGCCGGCTCTGCAGCTTGCCCGACATCCCGCGGCGGCCGCAGGCGGGGGCAGCCAAGAGGGGAATTCACTTTATGGCCAAAGAAGTGCTGAAAAAATATAAAAATAAAAGAAAATGCGACCATGCCTTCATTTCATCCACATGCGCCAGCTGAGCTCCTTTCTCCCTGCATGACCCATTAGCCAAGGGACTTGGCTGCCCCTCCGTGGGACTCCCGGGCCACCGATGCCGGGTGCTTTGGGCCTAGCAGGGCCGTGGTTGCCCCGTGGGCCGCATTCCGGCCTGGGGAGCTCCCATCCCTTTCCCGAGGTGCGCGGAGGCCCTGGACTCGGCTCGCTCTCACCTTTGCTCACGCCGTGCCCATGGCGGAGGGCGGCTGGCAGCGGCCTCGGTGGCGGCGGTGGCAGCTGGCAGCGCGGCTCAGCTGACTGCCGCGTCCCCGCCTACCTCCGCGGGGATTTCCTGCGGAAAATCCGCCTGGCTCCGCTCCGGCTCCGGCTCCAGCCCTCTCTGCTCCCTGGCGCTGGTGGCAGGAGGGTCTCAATGAAAGGGTCGGGTGTCTCCCGGTCACTCTGGGGCTCCATGGCTCCCCGGGGACCTTAGGCGTACATCCGTAATGCTCATCATGTCCTCCTGGACATATCTCCCCACACTGCATGTGGGAGACATGGAAAAGGCCTGCGTTCCCAGCTGGAAAAAAAAAGGGAACACAGGGATGGCGGGCGGCCAAAGCCGGTAGAGCCTGGAGTGGCATCAGGAAGGTTGATGTTCCTCATTGCACAAGTGTTAAAAAGGGACAACAGGTGGAAAAAACGCCCAGAAAGCACTTTTCACGCAGTGCTAGTATGTTTTAGAGATTGTTGTTATGGAACTGAATGGAAGCAAAAAGTTTAGGAACGGATGAGCCACACGCAAGGTATTGAGCTCCTCTGCTGACTGTCAGCATCGTAGTCAGACACGATTTCTAATCTGGAAAGTCCTTAAGGAAGTTTGACAGCTCATGGTAGGCAGAGCTAGGAATGGCAGTTCATTTTAACACATTCCTTGTGCTTTTTCTATGTACCCCAGTCACAGTTACTCTGGATACTGGGTTGGAAAGACCCTAGATGGGCTGCTAGGACCCTTGAGTAGCTCTTTTTATGTAATAGTTGGCACCTGTTATGATATATTGCTTCCTTTGCTTTCAACTTAAAATGTCGTTTTACCTAAAATATCTGCTTTCCCTAAGGACACTGTCAGTCTTTGATTAAATAACTGCATGGCTTGAAAATAAGCTCTTTTGTTTTGTGAACATTGCTGTGGTGCCTCCCCGAGCTGTGTCCTGGCTGCTCTGCAGTGAAGTCATGTCCTTCTGCGGGCTGCTCTCCCCTGCCACCCTCCACACACTACAGCCAAAGACTCCTCCGGCATAAAAAAAGAGGAAGGGCTGTAGCCCAGTGGAAGGGATAATCTGACAGGCAGCGATCTATTTATAAGGCTCAAGAGCTTTGGCATTCAAACTCCACAGGCAGGTTACAATTCACCCTAGAAATGAAACAGAAACCATTTGGGACCGCTTAAGGAGTAAACAGCAAGGCTGATAGCTGGCTGACGCATGCTGAGTCCATAATTTGTATGCTCAGTTTTCCCCTTTCCTGTTTTTTTTTTTTTTTTTCCTGGACTAAAATCTATTCTTCTATGCACATGCTTGAGGATAGCGGGGAGGGTATGATCTGGGCTGCAGGGTGTTTGGGATTTGTGCTTGACTAGCAGTGTGAGCTTCACTTGCTCAGCACAGCCAGGCTGATACTTACTGGACGCTGAGGATAGTTTGGTCAAAACCCACCTGTGTGGCCTAGTTTGTGTATAAAACTCACCTGTATGGCCTTGTCTGTCTATTGGTTTTGTAAATTTGACCGTGGGCCTTGGAATGAAATTGCTTTTCTGTCACAACATCCATGACTTCTATATTAGACAGGGCTGTGCGGGACTTGGGGAAGTAACAGAGATACCTTCTGTGAAGACCAGGGCAGATATTAGCAGCTCATCGTGGATCCTTATTTAAGCTCTGGCTGAGCTAAGCTTTGGCACACAGCGGGACCTTACTGTATTTGAAACAAAGGCAAAGGAAGTAACAAAAATCTACTGAGTTTTACCTCAGAGAGCAATTAAAACAACAACAACAACAACAACAGCAACATTTACTACTTCATTATGCTTCTCATAGGATTTATTCCCTCAAATTTGTTCCCAATCTCAGCTCTGATTTTTGGAGGGAATAGATCTTCTTAAGAGAGAAAATACCCAAGTTTTGGGAAAGCGATTTAGCATTTAAGTGTGTGCTTCACCGCCAATAAGAGCTATATCCTCCAATTCTTTGAGGACATCCAAAAGTAAGAACAGTGCTTGTAAAATGGAGATGAACTGCTTGAGAATCAGAAGTGAAATATCTGATTTTGGCTGGAGCTAAACATTTAACTTTTTAAAAGCTAAATGAAAATTAAAGTCCTTGTAAATAGGGAAAGGGGGAAAATAACCAAAGAGGTTTTAAGGAAAAATAAAAATTTAAATAGTCCATTTTTTTTACATTAAAGGAAAAGTTGCTTCTGTCTAAGGAACATTAAAATATTTGCAGAAAATTCTTCATCTTATCATGTGTCAGCATTGTGGGTATATGACCAAGAAAATAATTGTTTGGGTTCACCTAACTTATTCAGATCTTTTTCACTACAGTCTTTTATCACAATTTGTTCCTTGTTCTGCAAGGACAGTGTGACAGGCAGGAGTGGAACATGTCAGCTTCAGGAAGGATGGAAAGTTCTGTCCTTACTTTCCAGTGAATGGTCTGAACTGCTAGGCTGAATTTTGAGTAGCTCATCTATCAGGGCCTGTTCTCTATGTAGGGAGGGTAAATATTTGGTGGCAAAGGTTATAGAGGCATAAAATTGTCTAGTTTTCCCCAAGCCACCCTGTAACATTTTTGTGTGTATGAGAACAGACATCAGTTAACTCCAAGGCTGAGGGTCCAGATTCACAGTCAAGTTACTTAAGAAATTCCTTTGAGGCAGCTGAGCCATGGAAGCCATCTTTGTGTGCACTCTTATGCCTAGTAAATGTAAGATAATACGGTTTATCTTAGTCTAAAATGACAGGGTTATGCTGAATTACCTTCACATTGCCCTGGACTAACAGCTCAGATGCTGTTTTTGCAGGTGTTGAGACGTGAACTCAGAAAATCAAACAAAGCTGGGACATAGGCTTGACATACAGAACGCCCAGATAAAAAGAACACCTCTCTCTATATATATCTACATATAGACACAAAGGAGTTAAGTTTTATCCATCTGTCTGTCTTGTATTATGTGGAACTGATGCTGCTTCTGACTCTCTTATGTTGACTCTGCTCTTCCAATCTCTTTCTAGTCCCAGGGTTGCTGTCTTATTTCTGAGTGATACTGGTAGCTGCTGGAAATTCTTGATGTTGGCCAAGATCCCGTAGATCCTGCTCAGATGTAGACCAAAGACTGACTTCTCTCATAGGACGGTTTGAATATATAAATATATAAATATATAAATATATAAATATATAAATATATAAATATATAAATATATAAATATATAAATATTGCAGCCACCTGGATTGCTTCCTCTGAGGAACCCAGTTTCCTAAAGAGGCTTTGGTTTATTGTGTCTATAGAGTGGTCTGCACTTGCATGGAAGGAATACTACCCTTGCGTAATACCTGGGCTTTTGGCCAGTGTAAATGCTAGAGTGTTTGCTGTGACTTCAGATTTGCTGATTAAGCTTATTTTCCAATTGAAAGGTAATTTTAAAACACCAGAAAGATATGTTATTTGCAGGCTTCCAGCAGATTAGCTGGGGGAAAAGGGTGTTATGAAGTGCATCCAACTTTTAGAGTCAGCAGTACTGCATGATGAATGTCACCATAACCTAGAGAGAAGTAAGATAATGAAATGCATTAATTTCCTACAACAATTAAGTGCTACCATGGCCTGAAGAAGGCTCAAAGCCAGCTGATAAAGGCTACAGTAAAAAGCAATAAATCTTAGATTATCATTAGGGTAAAACAAAGGACCTGAAATGCAGATGTATGATTTTGTCTGTCCAGTTCGGAATAGTCATGATTTTTTTTATTATCAGTCCAGTGCCGAACCTTTTTCTATTTATATTTCTATTACTTTGAAATGCTCATCATTGGAATTATCGAAGGCTAAGTGCAGGGGACCAAAACAAGACAGAAGCAGAGCTGAATTAAAAAAAGATGCAAGATCTTGGTTTTAGTCTGATAATCCTGTTGTGGGCAAGGATGTCTATAAGATATGAGAAACAAAATTGTAGTGGCAAAGAATGTGTCTAACTAATTGCTGTCGGCTCATTCTTCACAGTTAAATAAACAATTTGTCATGTACCACTTTCCCTCCCACATACAGCCAAATGGATAACTTATTTTACAACTGCAATTATATAACATCCCAGTGCAATGATGGAGAGTAAAAATAGTGACTCTGGTGCAACTTTTAGATGATCTAATTTGAAGCTTGCTGATATGCAGAGAAAATGCTACATGGGTTTTTTCTTCAGCATTTTCCTTCCTGAAATTGATTGCTGTTTGATTGCTTTTGTGCCCAGTTCCTGAAAATCCTCAGCTCTGATTTCCTTCACTGGAAATAAATGTAGTCAAAAACATTTCAAAAACATTTTCTCTGATTTTTTTTTCCTAGTAAATTCAGCACTGGTGTTTGGAATCAAAATGGCAAAAGCTTCCTTGTTTATCCTCAATGCAGCAAAAGCAGCATTTGTGAAAGTGCTCCATACTATTGCTCAAAGTACATGGCCCTGCATTTGGAAGTGTGATGACAAGATAATTACCTGCCTGTTACTTCTGTTACTTTAGACTTTTTGCTAAGAATAAGAGCAAAAAGATGACTGGAATAAATGCAGTTGACAATGTTATAGGATCCTTGTTCGGGTTACCCTCTCCTTTCTTGGCCTTTCAGCAGATACCGGTTTCCATTTGAGGAGCAGCACATTTCACTCAACAGCTGTCATGCCAGCAGATATTGCATTTCTGTCTCTATATCCTTCATGATAAAGAAGAATAAAAAGGAAAAAAATGAGTAAATGTGCAGGAAAGGTGAGAACTAAATTGACAATTCTGTCCTTGTTTTCTTATTCCAGTAGATGGCACCAATTCTCTTTCTAGATCATCACCTACTTACTGGATCAGGAGCTCCAGGATGAGAGTTTAAATAACCACAGGCATCTCTTCCCTTTTCTTCTGCTCTCTCTGAGTGTGAAATTTGGACCAAGGAGGCAGCAGACTAAGAAAAAGTGTGAAGCTTTTGGAATGTGGCACTGCTGCCAAATGCAGTCATGTCA